AATAATAAGAGGATATTCCCGGCAGATTCCCCAAATTGCACTCGATGTGGTGGTTAGAAGGCGAAAGGGATGTAGAGTGGTAGGAGGAAAGAGGAGAGGTTGTGGGGTGAGGGGGAGGAAAGAGAGGGAAAGTGGATAAGGGTGGAGGCAAGGCGGGGACTGCCGGGAGTATTCGGAAATATTTTGAGTAAGAATCTTTCTTTTGTGGTGTTTGTAGACGCATCATTTGTATTTGTTGTTTAATTCAAAATAATAAAAAATTTTATATATAAAAAAACAATAGTGAACAAGTCAGGCCTAGGATGTGAAGCATAAAAAATTTCTGCTAGGCCAGTGATGGTGAACCTTTTAGAGACCGAGTGCCCAAAAACTGGCCCCGCCTCCGCTTCACCCTCCTGCCCTGCCCCCGCTCTGCCCCCCCATCCTCCGCCTCGCCTGCCCACAGGATCACTCACCGCCTCCAGGGCCCGCCGCAGATTGCCCAGGCAGCCCAGCAGCGCAATGGCGACCACACCCTCTGCCCGTGCCCTGCAGCATCAACTGCATGATGGGGTGTGAGGGCAGAGTCTTGTCTATGCTGCCTGGCTGCCATGTCCTTGGCTGCGCTGCTCCGTGTGGGCCACACTCAGGGGCGACTCTCCTTCAGGGGGGCTGCTGGAGAGGAGGGGGTCACAGGGAGGAGGCAAGGCTGGGGCAACGGCATGTGTGCCCACAGAGAGAGCTCCGAGTGCTGCCTCTGGCACCTGTGCCATGGATTCGCCACCACTGTGCTAGGCTATCCTATCCCCATTACAAGACAATGTGAAGCTGTATGGAAGGCTTGGTCTTGTGCAGGCATCTCCCTTCATGCATATATACATCTATATTGTACAACTGACTTTTCTTTCCTAAATAAAGTATTCTGCACTAGTCTCTATTAAATTTCATTCCGTTGTTTTGAACTCATTTTTCTAACCTGTCAAGCTTTCTTATTATCTCTTCTCCCTTCTGTTCATATACTCTGGGTTTATTACCTTCATGCTCAATCTCCATATTTAAACCCATTATTTGTTATATTTAAAGCAACAAACTGGTTTGCCCTTGACCGCTGTATTCCAATTGCTTCTGAAAACTTTTGGGTCTTTACATGTCTCTAAATAAAGGCAGGGAAACAGTAGTGCTAAACAGCAACCCTAGTAAGAAGAGTCTTGCTGGTTTAGGTTCTAAGTCAGCAAGGCTCATTTAGTACAGTAGGATGAACATGGACTGATAGTGCCACCTCTCTGAGATTCCTGCCAGGAATTTGTTCAACTCAGTTTGGAGATTTTTGGAACTGAATAAGATTGGGGCAAATCCATGGGCGTTAGGAGAAGAATTGGCAGGTGGAACAGAAGGTAGCAACAATTAGTAAAGAGCTATATTCTAGATATTGTCACTGTGGAGTTGTGGATGGGGCACTGATGCATGCTGATCATGCGTAAGAAACACTAGGAAAGATAGTAAGATTTAAAGTAATGCTGTCACATGTGTTGGCCTTGATCAGGGGTCTCCAAACCTGGTAACTTTTAGGACTTGTGGACATCAACTCCCAGAATTCCCCAGCCAGCTTTGGGAATTCTGGAACTGAAGTCCACAAGTCTTAAAGTTGCCAAGTTTGGAGACCCTTGACCTAGATTAATTTAAAATAGTTCACTACGGCAGATGAGAAAAAATGAGAAAAGAAATGCTAGAAAATTCAGTTTTTAAAAAGTGGTTTTCTTTCAATACAGATCTTTCTCTACTGAGGTTTATTAATGCAGAGCTAACAAGAGGTTACTTTCTTGAACACAATGAAGCCAAGTATACAGAACGGAGAGAAAGAGTGTATACATGCATGCGCATACCAAGAGAATTGGAAAAGGTAAGTTAATTTCTCAGAATTATATTATGCCTAAGGAATGCTCACTCTCATTTTATACAACACATGAACCTTTTTTGTTAATATAAAGATTCTAAAAACATTTGGAGGCCAGATTGTTGATTTTTTTAAAACAACAACAACAACCAGTATGTAACATAAGGATGTTACTCCGACTCCATGTTTTGGGTGTTCAGTCTGGCATTCAGTTTGCCTTAAGTCTGATAACACTATAATTGAATATGTTGGATAAGCAGTGATATATCAACAGGAGAACAACATGTGCAACCAAAATGAATTTTGGTTGCTTTCTGAGAATCAGTTCTATCACCAATGGGGAAAAAGTGTTTGTTTAAAAAGTTGCTGATCTCTGGTGGTGGGAAATGCAGATTTTGTTTCTGGACTGACAAATACTAGTGGGACTCTCTTAAAATTTTGCTGTCCGATAGATGGAAGCATAAAAATGCTAAATCAATCTGATAACAGAACTTCCTTATTTTTAAGTTAATTTACATGTTAAGCTTAGGTAATAGAACAACACACAGAAAAATAAAATAATACTAAAATAAGAAGTAGTAAGACCACTTTAGTAGCAGCAATAAAGGAAGGAAACCACAGGACAAAAATGATGTGTGAACAATATTGTTTTAACTGGTTTCCTTAGACGTCAGCAGAAGTTATCTGATGCAGTGCAGTTCTATGTCTGAGGAACTGCAGTGATTAATTATTTTCTGTGGATAGTAAGCCACTTGGGGGACCTCTTCTGATTATTGTGTGAAAAGAGGGGCTTCTAAACCCTTCAGACAAATCTCTGCTGTGGGGAGGGGGGAATGGATTCCTTTGATATTTTGAGAGCAAAAGAGTTGCCATGATAGAGATGGCTACCATGGCAAGGCATTCATGAACCAGGCACAACGTTATAAAGTTTCTCTTCTAATTTTCCATGAGGCTTTCTTAAGTTCCAGACTTATTTGTTTTGAGAAAAGAGGATCAGAGGCACACTTTTAGATAAAACGTTGGCCTCAAACCAACCCACCTTTATTACTTTTTTAAGAATGTAGAGAGGAGGCATGGTCAGAATTAAAGATGTTACACGAAGCTCAAGCTAAATTGTTTAAAGTCAGAATAAAACTGAAATATGTTGTGGAAAGGATGGGAAAGAAGAGCACTTGAAAGTTGGATAAGTAAATGGAGTGAGGTTTAAGTGAGAATGAGAGTAATGAATGTGATAAAATTACCAGATTAACCATTGGAAGAAAAAGCATTTCCTCTGAAATGAGCCTGAGCAGCACTGAACTATCATTGCAGAGAGAGTAAATGATATACCTGTTTTTCCCCTCCAAGAATTTATACAGGAGTTAATCCCGGTTTTAATTATTGAGCCTTGAATTCAGTACTCCCTGCCTTTCCTCCCATTAAGATGTTAATTGAGCATCTTACAGGGGTAGGCAACCTTGGCTCTTTTATGACTCATGGACTTCAACTCCCAGAATTCCTGAGCCAGCAGTCATAAAAGAGCCAAGGTTGCCTACCCCTGACCTAGTATAATATACTGTTTTTTCTCTTTAAAAAGCACTCCATGAGATGCAAACCACTTGCATTACAGGTCTCTCCCAAAGTAAACATTGGAGGCTATGCATCATAAATGGTTTAAATCAGGAATAGGGCACGTCTGAGCTCTGTTGAAGCATTTCTGTTATTAAGAATTTCTGATATTTGTTTGCTTTTCAGTGTTGAAGATTTAAATGATTTTTTAAAAATGTTATTATCTAATTTAAGGTTCTGAAATGAATCCAGAATAGTTGAAGTATTGTTGTTGAAACAGGAAGTCAGAGAATAGCTGCTGGTTTTGTCCGGTACATGTTAATGTTTTTCTGCCAATTTGTTCACAACAAAATGTGGACATCATCCAGTTCCTGAACCGTCTGTATTTAAGAACACAGAGACGCAAACAGCCTGTTGTGGGTCAATATGACTAAACATGAGATGGGGCCATCAGGGATTAAAAATGTTGTATGATAGCTCAGTGAACTAATTTAGTGTTTCTCCAGCACTGAGATGGAGACTCCACCATTGGGTAGTAGACTGTATTCCTGCCCAATCAGATCAAGTCAGCCAAAGTTGCCATGCCCGTCCTGGACCGTTGATCTCCAGTCTTTGACTTGATCTTGCCCAGGACAGACGTTGCAAGTTTGGCTCTAGGCAGGTACAGTCATTGGTGGATTTCCATTCCCTTTCCAATTTTAAAAAATTTAAAACAAATTCAATCTGTGCTTGCACTTAATTTGGCTTCTTCCTTTCCTCTCAACGATCCCTGTGAGTATTTTCCAACGAGACTAACGGCTGTTAGTCTCAAATCTCATTATTCAGATAGGATTGGGCCTTGCAGGGAATCGATCGGGACTGCTCTTTTCCCCGACAGGAGGCCAACAGCTGTTGGTCTCCAAATACCACAGATCTAACGGAGCTTGCGGCTGCAGCTCCGTAGGCTGGTTGAATGGGCAAAGACAGGCCCCAGGAGGCAGTTTTTCACCTCGCTCGATCCGGCCTCGATCCGTCAGGAAAACATCGGCTGTTGTTTTCATCTTACGGGGGGAAAAACACAAGCCTCACGGAGCCCGCGGCTGCGGCTCTGTTGACTCGGGCGCGTGTTTTAGCGCCGGGAAGGGGGGGGAGGCCCCTGGATTGACTCCGACGTTGTTTGGCCTTCACGGGGCTGCGGCTGCAGTCCTCGGGGGCGATTGTTGTGAGTTTTTTCTAATTTTCGATTGCGGAGGTGCGCGCTTGCGCGTGTTGGCCTCCACTACGATCGGGGTTTTTTCGGCTGGCTATAGGGGACTGAAAAATAGTTTGTTTTTTCCCCGATTCCTCCCTTCTTTGCTGGTCGGTGTGCGGAGGCTCCTCAGAGTGCGGGGGGGGGAAATAGTTTTCCCCGGCCCTGCCTGTGTCGGGCTACCGCCATCTTGAGCCTCGTGGTCCTTGAATAGGCCGCGGCGGCCATTTTGAGACCACAACTTGCTTTACAAAATTGGATTAATTGTTCAGTGAAACATAATAATTATTTGGTGAAAGGAGTTAATCTAACTTGGGCTCTTGTATAATCTCCAATTGGCACACAAGTTTTCCCTTGCTGCTAAGGGTGGTAATACTCGGTTACCTTCCTTTCTGTAGTGAGGTAGGCCGCCATTTTAGTAGGGCCGCCATTTTGTGCTCTTCTTTTCAACATATAGAGGCAGATCCCTCCCTTTATTCTCATTTCAATAAACTTCTGGTTACAATTGGCTCATTTAACTCAAGATTGGTGTCTCCTGGTCCTTTCTTTGCAATTGATTAATTGGCACAGATTAATTGGCACTGTACTGGGATTCCAGACTCCCCATCAGCGTGTCTGTTCTTATCCACAGTATTTTCAGTACGAATTCCAGACTCCCCTTATAGAGTGTCTGTCCTTATTCGTACTTAGTTTCTCCCTTGGATTCCAGGTGCCCCAGCAGTGTACCTGTCCTTATCCAACCGGGATTATACCTGGGTTCCAGGCGTCCCTGCAGTCCGTCTGTCCTTACCCAGAGTTTTGGCATTTTCCTGATAACAGAAACCCCCTATTGTGTTTCAAGGTTATAGGAAAATGGAGGAAACTTCTCTTTCCTCAATGAGTGCCCCGCCTTCCTCATCAGGTACTCCTGGTC